GCCCACAGATATGTGTAGTATTGCCATTTGTCAGCAAAGATGGGGTGCTCTGCTCTCTTCTACGATCTCCTCTATGACCTGGAAGGGGATTCTTGGCCCTAAGTCAGCAGCACCTGCCTCTGACTTCCAGGGGTCTCAGCAGACCTCAGAATTGAGCAGTCAGCATCTGAGGACTGAAAGGGAACAGAGCCTGAGGCTGGCCTGGTCCCCTGGTTCTCTTAAGGTGATATTTTGGCTGGCTGTCTCTGTTCCTCTACTGAAGCTGACCTCACTTCTAAACTGATCTACCTTCAAACTCTATGGTCATGGTCACTGTGCGTTCTCTCTGTGGTTGGACTTTCTTCCAAATGTCCCCTCTGCTGGGAGCACCTTTCCTCAGATACCCAGTTGAACAAGCCTCTCACTGTGGAGTATAGACCCCACCCCCACCCCTATTGCCCTTCACTTTCTAAACCACCCCAGGGCAGGGCCCTCCATCTTTTCTGTAACCCACATGTCTGGCCCTGTATCTGGCCCAGAGCACTTGCTGAATGGGGCAGGAATAAGCCTTCTGACCTCAGCCTCCACTTCTAGCTTGAGGGTGTCCTTGGCCCTTCCCACGTCTCTTCACTCTGGGAATGTTAATAACTAATAGCGATTGGGTTAGTTTCCATGGCTGTGGGTAGAGAGTGTCGCAGACGGGGGCTTAAGCAACAGGACAGTGTCGCCACAGCTTTCTGCAGGTCACAAGGCCAAGGTGAGGTACTGGCAGAGCCACCCTCCCTGTAGGGCTTACAGGAGGGTCTGCTCATCCCGCCCCTGCCTTCTGGTGTTTCTTGTCTTTTAGCAGCAAAACTCCAGCATTCACGCGGCACTATCCCTGTGTGTCTGCATCAACCTCCCCCCTTTTAATAAGTCTGGGGCTCAACCTCCTGTAGTTTCACCTCATCTGTGCTTAACTCTCAAGACCTACAGTGACCTTTCTTCAAATGAGGCCACAGTCTGTGGGACTGGGGCTTTGGGCTCATGAGTTTTAGACAGTCACATCACCCAACTGACACGTCCTGAGTCTCTATTGAATACTAAACACAGAATTAGTTGCGGATGACCCTCACAGAAGCATATGCTGGGGTATAGACCTGGTATCTCTCCCACTTTCCCTAGCTAGGAAATGGAGATCAGAAAAATCAAGTAGCTGGCCCCAAGGTTACCCCATCCAGTGACCAGCGGCAGGGCCAGGAAACCACGGAACCCAAACACAGCCCCATGGTGCTCTGTTTCCTGGGTTCCCTTTCTCCTCTGCATCCAGTGCTTCAGCAGCAAACTCTAAAGGCTGTGATACTAAGATCACAGAACTCTTAGAAAGTCTGGGGCCTGTCAGGAGCAGAACCCTTAAAGTTCGGCCCTGTAGCAAAGTCCAAAACCTCACTGCCACCAGAGGATTCTGCCGCCAAGTTGCAAAAGCCAAGTCTGTGCCTCTCACCAGATCCAGTGCCAGCTCCCCACGGCCCCAGCTCTCTATGACCCCAACTCCCCACAGCTCCCCACAGCCCATGAACTGCAGCCCCTCGGCCTCACAGGGCCTGGATGATACTGGCTACAAGTTCACTCATTCTAACAGCAAGGCTGAAGCCAGAAAGCCAATTTGGAAAACCAGCTGTTGATGGATGTCCAAATTTCCTGAAGATCAAAAGAACGGTAACGACATCTGTCTCAATTTTATTAGGCCTCAGAACTGTTTTAATAGACCGTCCAAACCTCAGTATGGAGAAAAAAATCAAACCCAGTATGTCCCTTCTTGATAAGCAATTACCCAGAAGGATTGGATGACATAGTGTGGACCTCTTAAGCAGTTTGCACAAACTTCAGAGAGAGCCACAGACTTGCTGAATGTGGAGTTTGGGAAAGGAGTGGCTCTGATGGACTTTGATTCTATTTCCATGGCAATTAGGTAAGGCGCTGTCTCCCCCTCCTGTTGCTACTGTAACGATTTAGCAGCTTCAAACAACTCAGAGGTAGCAGTTTGTGGGTTGGGCGGTCAGAAGTCTGAAACAGGTCTCACAGGGCAAAACTCAGAGCATCAGGGTGGAGACCAGGAGGATCATCTCCTGGCTAGGCCAGCTCCCAGAGATCCCCTCAGACTCCTCCCTCACCTTCCCTACAGCCACTGCTTCCAGGCTGCACCTCCTGTACTTTGGCACGTCCTCTTCCAAGGACCCTGTGATTCCACTGCCCAGATAATCCAGGGTGACCGCCACATCCCAAGATCCTCACTTCCAACTGTGACATTCCTGCTGACATATTCACAGTGCCCACGAATTCAGACCTGGACATCTTTGGGAACTGATTGTCATTTTTGCTGTCATAGGTGGCCAAGATGACAACCCATTTTACAGACGCACAGATCAATTCAGAAATCTCCAGCAATTTCCCTAAGCCTGCCGGGCTTATACTTGGGTGCTGGAGGCCAAATGTAGAGCTGTCCAATTCTAAAGCCCGTGCTCTTTCTCCCCAGGATGCCCTTCTGTCCCTGACCCCCAGGACCCACAATGCATTTACTCTCATGGCTGCCGGGGCTTGGGGTGAGTACTCCCATTCTAAGGACTGCCTGCGAGCACTGCTCTCTCCTGCCTTTACATCTGCATCTCTTTATTTTTAATTCATCTATTTTTAAATTTATTTTTATTATTTTTACTTATGTATATGTGTCTGTTGTTTATAAATGTACAGGCGGGTATGAACTACCTGACGTGGGTGCTGGGAACTGAACTTGGGTCCTCTGGAAGAGCAGTAAGGACTCTTACCAATGACTCTTCCTGCTTTCCTCCTCCAGGGAGCCCTCCTGGACTCCCACAGGACAGCTTAGCTCCATGTGGTGCATGTACTTTCAGGTCTGCCTGTGTCTCTACATCATTCCAACTCCACAGAGACCTCTGACCCCATGTGGTGCTTGTGAAGTGGACATACACAAATCCACTCAGTGCCAGGCTGTAAGACTGTATTTAAGGTCTGCATGAGGTCCCTGCAAACCTAGAAACCATGGTTTCCACCTCCTAGGGCCACAGTCAGGCTGCACTGGTGGTGAGCTCCTGCAGATAGGTACCGTGGCCCTGTGAGCCCAGCTCTAGTTCAGCAGCTGGCCTAGGGGAGCTGGCAAGAGCTCTGCCACCGCCAGCCTTGAATATGCTAAGTGGCTGAGAGCCACTGAGGTCAGTCTGAAGGGGGTGCAGAGCACTCTTCAGGGTCTGCGGTTTCCTGAGAGCTTAGGAGGGACTCACTTCTCTTCCAGGAAAGGGCTATTTCTTTCTCCTCTTTCTCTGAGGTTCAAGTAAGACTTTGACAAAAGTCAGCAGGTTTTGATAAAGATGCTCATTGTGGAGGCCCAAGGGAGTGGCCTCTAGAGTCTGAGACCAAAACAGGACAGCACAATCCCTACCCCCACCCCTGCCCCCAACTTGCCCCTCTTTCAAATGGGCACTTTCAGAAGTGGTATGTGCAGGCCTGAGATCTCACAGACAGTAGTTCAGGGTCTCAGGGACAGCAGGCTCCCACAGTGCTCTCCCTCCTTTCCCCCAGATTCTAACCCCACCTTGTCACCCTGGCCTTGACTTCCTCATCCATCTAAAGTTTGCCAGGGATGGGACAGCAAGATGGCTCAGCATGTAAAGGAGCTTGCTGCCAAGCCCGATGACCTGAGTTCAATCCCCATGTCTCATGTGGTGGTGGAAGGAGAGAACCAATACCTGCAAGTTGTCCTCTGATTTCCACATGCACACACACAGACACAGACACACACATAGACACACACACACACACACACACACACACAAACACACAAAAGATTGTCAGATTCCCTTTGAAGTCCTCTGCTCCGCAGTGACACATCCCACAGCCTCATCTCAGACAGTGGGGCGTGGCTGCCCATGCACGCAGGACTGTAGGTGTCTGCCGAGCACTGCCATCATCTGGCTTTGCCAATCATTTAGTGTCGTTCATTTACTCCCCAGTCTGTGTCTATGAGGCAGGGGCATGCCCTTATAGAAATGGGAAACCGAGTCATAGAGACATCCTGCTTGGAGTTCAGCAGCTCAGAATAGAGCTGAGGTGGAGAGAGCTGGGACAGGGAACAGAACTGGGATGGAAGCCTGGCCTGTCGTGTTCTGAGCAGAGGTGTCCAACAACCCCACCTGGTGGGCGGAGGTTAAGGAAACCGCCAGAGAATGGGTTTTCAGAGGCCGGTAAGCCTTCCCCACTAGAGCTCATTCTCAAAGTCTGTCTGTGTGGGGCAGTCCATCAAAACCCACCTGACAAACAGTAGAGTGGAACTTGCTTGACGAACTTCCTGCACAGAGGCAGGAGCAAGGCTGGGATGTGGACCAGGATGGCTGCCTCACAGGAGGGGAACAGAGCTAAACATGGCCTGGAGAGGAGTAGGGAGCTCCCAGGCTCCCCACACAGTCTGACTGGGAGAATTCTCTTGTTCCTCTCCAGTTTCTGAATTTTTACAAATTTACCCTAATAAGTTGGTATTGATACAACGATTAAAAAAAAAAAAAAACACAAAAAACAAACCAACCGAAACCCTTTGCTCTTTTCCCACCATGTCTTCCCTGGCTGACCGACTCTTCTACTGATCAAGGTAAAAGTTGTTAAGAGGAATTAGGTGCAGCCCAATTTTTGTGAAACTTGCGGATGGTAAAACATTGAAATATTTTCCCTCTACAAAATTAGAAAGGGAAAGAGGCCCACGCATTACTCTTCTACATTTTTAATAGCATTCTTTTAAAAGAATATCATGTCAGAATGACCCAGAAAAGACAAAAAGCAAAATCAAGTGCTCTACTGAAAGCAAGTCAGTGACAGGATGGGGTGGAGGTTGTCTCTGCCTACTCATGCCAACTTTGACCTTGGAGGTCCGGGTCGGCAAGGAAAACCCAAATCCAGACTCCAGACTCTTGAAGCAAGCCCCATTAGTTCACCCTGATCCCTGCCTGTTTCCTGGGAAGCCCTCAGTGACTTACAGAGAAGATGGAAGCCAGTGTCTCAATGCCACCAGTGCTCAGGGTGATGTAGGGGATCTTGTCCTCAGGAATCCCAGCTTTTCCAAAGATGCTGTTGGTGTAGAACCAGATCTACAATGTGAGACAGAAAGGAAGGTCAGCTGGGACTTTGATCTCCTTCCTAAATTAGACTCAGGTCTAAGGTTCTCTCTGCGCCTCTCCAGTCGCAGGTGAGTTGCATGATGTGGCCACTGGATTCCACCCTTCATTCACATCCTTCACTCACAGACTCTTGTGTTCCTGGGAGTGATGCCTGCCCACTGAAGGCACTGCTTCCCAGACCACCTGCAGTTAAGACTGGCAGTAGAGTAGGGACAGAAACATTGGTTGGACTTGCAGGAAACGTCTTTATCTTTATACTTATTGGATGTGTGCACACACATCTGTGGGGGGACATGTGCCAGTATATGGAGGTCAGAGGACAACATACAGGAGTTCATTCTCTCCTATCGTGTGGGTCCCAGGGATCAAATCCAGGTTGGATTTGGTGCCAAGTGCCTTTGCTCGCTGGTCCCCTTTGGCCTCTGTCGCCCCCTCCTCCTTGTCTTCCTTCGCCCCCCAATTTCTTGCTCTCCCTCATCTTCCTCCTCCTCCTCCTCCTCCTCCTCCTCCTCCTCCTCCTCCTCTTCTAAAGAAACTTTATCAAGGAGGTCTGCTCTCATGTTTTATTTTTATTTTATTTATTTTTTTATTTAATAACCACATGATTAGAAGAAGCATTACCTTTCCATATCTGTGAGGAAAAAAGACCTCCATTTCATTATTAAAATACACAGTTTCATACAGAAAAATTCATTTTTAATGCAATTGACATTAAGATGTTTGCACATGCGTTTCTGATCTCTATGTATCTGATTATTACTAGTCACAGTTGGTTCTTTTCTGAGCTCTGGCACCAAGGGGCCAAGGAGATGGCTCAGTCAGTAAAGTGCTTGCTAAACCAGCATGAGGACCTAAGTTTGGATATAAAGTCATCAGGTAGATTTCAATGGTAATGTTTATCACCTCTACTAATTAACATGAAGCAATTTTTTATGCTTCTTCCTCAAATAGAACTCATTTTTTATTTGTTGATTTTATGTGTGTATATCATACAGAACATCCCAAACAATCCTTTTCATCTACGTATACTCACTTGTCAAATGGCAGCCTCCCATAGCGCACCCCCCAACTGGAGTCCATATACTCTGTCATCCCTGTTACTGTCCACTGTGTTGTCAGGGCCCCCAGCTGTTGGGAGCCTGAGGCTCAGCCACTTCTCAAAACTGCTGAACAGACCTAAGCTGGTAACTCTCCATTCTGCCCACTCTCCTCCCGCAGGCACGGGATGAGCTCGTGGCCTTGGCCCGCAGCCTTGGTCCACGGCCTTGCACTCTTTTCCAGTAAACTGCCCTGCTTTCCGTTAATCAGTAGATTCCTCCCTTAGAGTACATCTGGGCCCCTGTGTTCTGGCTGATATGATTACTCTCAATCTTTGCTCCTTTGTTTTCACTCTCTATTTAACCTCATGCTTGAGCTGCAATAAACGAGACTTGCTCAGAACCCTGTCTTGTCTCCATTTCTCTTGTCTCTTGCCCTATCCAAATCCCCACTCCCCAATCCAGGTACCCCGTTGCAGATCCCGTGGGACGGGACAGCTGGTGCCCAACGTGGTGACTGGATACTGGGGGCATATCATGAGGGAGATGATGGAAAAAGGAAGGAGTGCACTCGCTAAATCTCAAGGAATTCGGAGACACCAGGACTGAAAGGAAGGTAAGTTGTGCTGTCCGATCATGGGGCAAGAATTAAGCCAGCATCAGATTTATATTACGCAGTTGAGGGAGGCTCTCAAGACAAGAGGAGTAAAGGTTAAGACTGTGGATTTATTTCATTTCTTTGATTTTGTAAAGGACATTTGTCCTTGGTTTCCCCAAGAAGGGGTCATAGATATAAAAAGATGGAGATGAGTGGGAGATGCATTA